ATCTTTCCTTGATTCCCTCGCCACTAAAAATACTCTCATTAAAATTTCAAGTTTAAAACCGTAATAATTTCCACAATAATTGGAAGCAACTAATCAATTGCCAACTAATTATAACTTTCTAATGCCTCAATACCGTATGCTATTCGTGTTAGACTAAACAAACCTATTTAACTCTTTTAATAAATAATTTTTTTCCTTTCTTCCTATTCTACATCATTTCGTGAGCATTAAAAAGAGAATATTAGGGGGGTAAAGTAGCGTTTTTGAAATTATCAAGAGGTAAATAAGTTATGTTTTTTATGGCAAAGCCAACTAATAAATCCATCATCATAATAATAATCAACACTACCCAAACGAATATATACACTGCATGAAAATTAAAGTTGCTTTTAATTATGCGTAAAATATTCATAAAGTGTTCATAAAAACATTAAAATTAATTAAGTCGTAAGCGACACCTTCCATCCTTCATAAGCAATTATCGTAATTAAATATTTTAATGAAATAAGAATTATTATGTGCTGCGAAGGTGAAAAAAAAATTGAAAAAGAGACTGACTCTCTTTTTTTGGTGTTATTGCTTGCCTGCCTGGATAATGCCATTCACACGCGTGCTTAAACTCATTTGTTGTTAACAATAATTTTTTTTTCTCGTTCAAAAAGGAAGGTGAAATATGAGTCGTAAATTGTTATTAATAAACGAAACATTTACAGGCACACATACCATGCCCTAGAATATTTTATAATTTTTCTATACACAAGGGATTGGAGACTCATGATGGATGGTAGCTTATGGTTGGAAATTGTCAGCTTGAAAGAACTTTGTGAAGTGGCATGGTGGTCTAAGTAGGAAAGCGTTGTCTTCGAGGACCAAAAGAGCTGGGTTCGAATCTTGATGAGGTTTGGTTCATTGATAATTCTTCATTTTACAGACTATGTTGCATTCTTACTTTAAGGGCTACTGCTAATCTGATCAGTAGTTCAAGACTATATTATTTGGTAAGGTGCAGGATATATGTTGAATCATGAGGATCTTAAGATCATCTGCCATATATATAAGGTCAGTAGCTAGTGTTTCGTCTAGAATAAAAAGAAAATCTATGCGTTTTAAGGGAAGTGGAGGGGGTCTTGGGTGTATGTCACTTAAAAGTGATTCCCCAAAAATTACAGCTCCCAAAAAAATCCATAATCCACAGTTCCCAATCCTTCATATTCTTACCACACACCTCTTTATTAAAATTTTCAAGGGTGTCGATTACATGTCATCAGTAAAATGTTAAGTGCACTCATAAAAAAAAATTGATAAATTTTATTAAAAATGTATGAAAAAGTTTAATAAAAGTTTATAAAAATACATCTTGATAACTTTTACTAAAATTTGATAAGGGTTATTAAAAATTTTGGTTTTACAAAATTGCATTCAAATTTTACAAAACTGTTAAAATTTTAATAATTTTCTTACTAAACATTAGTAAAAAGTTATTAAGATGTATTTTTATAATTTTTATTAAATTTGTTCATGGATTTTAGTAAAAAGTCATTAAAATTTCTTGGATTATTTTTTTTACAAAAACAGCTTTATAGTATAATTAATTTATAGTATGGAGATTTTTCAAGTCTTAACTAAAATGCTTTCTCAAAACTTAAGACTTTGCATGATTTTTGGCACTTAATGTGCCTCATAAGAAATTTATAATTTTATATGACTTTGTATGAGAACTAAGACATTCTTTTGTATAAGTCATTTCTTGGAGCGTTTGTGAAGTATATAAAATATATGAAAACCTTACAATTTTGGAAACCTACAACAGTTTTACAACGCTGTAGAATTTTAAAAACTTTTATTAAAATTTGATAAGTTTTATTAAAAGTTTGATAAGGTTTACTAAAATTTTAATAATTCTCATTAAAAACTTTTTAATAAGATTTTAGGAACAAATTATTAAAAATATTTTTATGAGTGTGGCATTGCATATTATCAATTTATTTACTTCATTTGACTTTTAATGAAAGGGGTTCATTGGAGTGGAAAAGGTTGTGCTGTCATAAGTCATAACACTCGTAAGTCATCAAAAAACCTTAAATTTTTTTTTTCCAACAACATGTGTTTCTTGTAAAATTATCCGTGATAGTAAAAACAGGTCGATTGACATTACACAGTCGTGGTAGCAGTAGCAAGCATCAGCATCATACTCGATTGACTATAATCATTATACTTACCATGTGCTGGCTTGTGTAAAAAGAGATCGAATGACGATTTATATTTTTTATTGAGTCATGTCAATTAACAATTTTGTATGCAATTAATTGAACGTCAATTGATGAAAGCGATATGATACGGCAATTGGGTTGGATTGGATATAATTGATCGTCAGTGGTGGTGAGCTTGGGAGGCAATTAATTGCAATGAGCTGAAAAAATATCATAAATCAATTATACGAGGCATAATTATGAGGTATAGTAGATGGAATGTTAAGTAGATTTTAGGTTAATTAAAATAACTTTTTTAAAGGAGAAAATAATGTGTGAGTTGATTTGCTGCTGGTTAGGAGATTGTAGCTTTTGTGGTAGGAATTGAACTTTATGTTGTCCATTTTGTCATTAATTTTAACGGCTATTATTTAAATTTTTGCAAAAAATAAGTATTTTCAGATCTGCAGACACAGAGTTCATGGGTTCGAATCCCAAAAATTCTATTCACTTAATTTAATTCTTTTTTACAATTTCAATTCAATATCAACCAGAGAACATCAAGAAAAGAAGCTCAAAGCAATTAACCCGCTCAAAACTCCACACCCATCATATATTTTTTGCATCAATAAATTCAGAACCGCGGTATTTGTTTAAGCTGATCTCAAACAGCAGCTCTATTACAATTTTCATCAGGAGATCATCATCATTCGGTAGCATCATAGCTGTGGCGCGGTCACAGCAGGACATTGCTTCTCTTCGTCTCTTCTTGCCTTCTTCATTATTTACTTTTATCGACGGCGAACCAAATGGACAGTGGAAGATTCTCGCTGTGATTTTCAATAACTTTGTTTTTTGCTGCGATGAGATTTGAATAATTTTTAATTAAAAATCCATTGAGGTTATTTTAAATAAACATATTTTATTAATTAGCTACCTAGACATTCTTTCAGGCTCAATATCTTTAATTAATAAAGAAAAATCAACCGACACTGAGTTGGGGATATAAATGATATGACATTTACAATTATTATGTGCGGTAATTTTTACACACAAGTGACAGCATAACGAGTGAGTAGTGCCGCATTTTTTGTTGCCCAATTTAAGACAGTCGACAAACCGTGAATATTCGCAAAAGCATAAACGAATCATTTTTCTAAAGTGATTTTTCATTTTCAGGCTCTTTTTTATGTCACTTTATTTTTTTGGTTTGCGAAAATAATAAAAATTCATCTAAAAATTTCCCTGTTTAATCTCTTATCATTAATATTCATTTGAGGCACATAAAACAATAAATAGGTTGTTTTAGATAAAAATTCCGATCTGAAAATTTGATTTTAATCTAAATAAAAAAATATTTTATTGAAAATTGACAAAGATTGGGCACTTTTATTGAATTTCGAAAACTTTAATTTCGAAAGTGAAAAATTTGATTTCGAAAAACTTATATAAAATTTCGAAAGTTAAAAATTTGAAATTGACAAACTTGAGTTTCGAATGTTAAAAATTGAATTTCGAAAGTTGAAAACTGATTTCGAAAGTTTCATATTGAATTTTAAAAGTTAAAAGATATGAATTTCGAAAAGTTTGAGTTTCGAAGATCAAAAACTTTAATTTCTAAAGTAAACACTTAATTTCGAAAGTTGAAAATTTTGAATTTCGAAAGTTAAAAATTCAGTTTCGAAAGTTAAAAATTCAAATTTTGATAATTGATAAATTTTTATGTCGAATGTTAAAAAATTGAATTTTGAAAGTTGAAAAAAATTAATTTCAAAAAGTTTGAGTTTCGAATATCAAAAACTTTAATGTCTAAAGTAAAAACTTAATTTCGAAAGTTGAAAAATTTGAATTTCGAAAGTTAAAAATTGAATTTTAAAAGTTGAAAAATTTGAGTTTCGAAAGTTAAAAAAGTGAATTTCGAAAGTTAAAAATTGAATTTTAAAAGTTAAAAAATGAGTTTCGAAAGTTAAAAAAGTGAATTTCAAAAGTTAAAAATTCATCATCAGTATCCATCCCCGTCACATTCAAAATTAAACAACACAAATAAAAATGTTTTGTTTATTTCCATCAAAAACATAAACTTCACTAGCTCAGAAAGTATATTTTTTTGAAAATTAAAACAACACACAACATCATCTATTATGCATGTGTAACGTGCAAAAAAAAAATGGGCAAATAAATTCGAAAATAACATTTTTTTCTTCCTCTTCTTCTCATTTTCTGATTATCGTTACAGTACATGCAGCCACAGTTTAGTTTTTATTTACATTGAAATAAAATAAATCTCTTACAATTAATATTTCATTTGTTGAATTTGTATGGACATAAATATTAAAATTGGAAGTAGGAGAAGGTGTTTAATGATGAATATCTATGAATTTGTTATTTTTAGTTGCAGTCTACATTGCTCCTTTGTAGTTTTGTAGGTTAGGATTTATTTTGAGGGTATTTGAAACTTAATTGGATCTTTTATATGGTGAAATAAAATAAAATAATATAAATAAATCTCTTCACATCAATCTTGATTCATATTCTTACCAAAATGTATTCAAGATAAGGTGCTGGTTGTTCCAAAATATAAAATAATTATCTTATCAAAATTTAAATATATTTTGTGAAATACCTGGAAGTAGTCACAAAATCATATTTAACGAAATTGAATGTTCAGAGCAATAAATGCTAATTTCACCACATCCTTATTATTGAATGACTTATCTTGAAGAACGTTGCGTTTCTTATCTTTTGTTGATCTTTCCTTTCTTTCCAAATGATATAAATTCGCAAATTTAATAACAATCATTTTAGTTGTAGCTTAAAACAGGAACCAGCACAATGATCAACAAAACTTTTCTTATTTGTGAATTATTCATTTTAATAACTGCCACGTGTGCATGTTCTAAGACATATTGTTCATCTGGAATTGTACGAGACTCAACCTTCGTTGAGTTGGGATACTTTGGTGATCTTTAACTTCATTTAATTTGTTGTAAACTATTTTAATAAATTATTAAATTCTAGGTGGGAAAGATAAATGTGGCAACTACTATCAGAAGCTCTATTACTATCCCAGATACTTGATAACAACATGGATGGAAGCTAGATCCTTCTGCAAATCCTACGACATGGCACTAGCAACATTCAGAACTCTAGAAGAAGCAACATCAGTTATTAACATGGTTGAGAAAAACATCGACTTAGGAACCCGAGACAACCTTTGGGTATTTATTGATGGAACTACTTTAACTCCTAGATCTCCAACAGACTGGTATTGGACAGACACTGGCGATAAAATTGACTTTTTAATGCCATGGTTACCAACACAACCTGATACAAATAGTTACAGGGAATTCTTTTTGAGCATTGGAAGACACAAGAAGACTCAACGTGTTGGATTTAATGATATTCCTGGAACCAATTTTTATAATACATTTTTATGTCAAAAGTATGTTTGAGTGTTGAAGTTTTACAATGAATAGTGGGATTCATACCTCTCATTTAAAAACTTATATATAATAAGATATTTAGGTCTTCAAACAACTTGGGTACAGTATTGAATATTAGTCAAAGTGAATAAAAATCACCAAAAATTGCTTAGTAAATCCCCGCTCTCTTATTACTCATATTAAAAATGTTTACAAATACAGCACATGCTGGGGAAAATTGTTTTCTTATCACAACTTTATGAGCCAGTGTCTTATCGACTTTTTCATATGAGAGCAGCCAGGGCTATATTCAGCAACATAATTGATATTTATTTTCTGAACCTATAACTACGCCACTGACACAAACATAAGTATATTAAAATCTGAGTTTACAATCATTCGTTTCGTCCCCAGTTTTAATTTATCAAAGTTCAGCATAAAGCTTAGCAGTGAAGTTGAACCTTCAATATGAGTCTATAATTTGTAATTGTGTCTTAATATCAAGCAACCTATTAAGTAACTCGAAGATCAGCTTTATTATTCATTAGCAAGTCACTTTTAACCCTCTTAGTGGTCGTTCACTTATGACGTTCAATATTTAAGGGGGAGGGGGGGTCAAACAATTTGTGACACATTGTGACAGGGGAGGGATGGGTCTGGAAATTTGTGAAATTTAATTTTTTAATCAGGAAATCATAATTATTTTGTGTCTTGGAGTGGACATCACAAGGGGTGAGGGGAACGGGAGAAGGGTATTGACATCTATGACAGTTTTGTGACAGAGGGGGGAGGATGGTCTAAAAATTATGTTTTTTATGAAGGTCATAAATGAACGGCCCCATATTGGTACTTAATATCCTAATGACTCTTAAGAACCAGCTTCGTTTATATTCTCAATGTCAGCAAGTATTCTCGCAACTTTCTATTTTAAAATCGTATATAAATATAGACTTCTCATTTTACTTATCAGTTCTAAACAAAAGTTACAATATGTGCGCGAGATCAGTAGTTTTTTGCATAATTTTAATTATTTCGACAGTTTTTTGCGATAACTGTGAGCAAGCTTGTCCTAAAATATCATCACCTGGTGATTCTTGCTCTTCTAGATTGCCTATAATAAAGGACACATTTTTCATCACACTAGGAAATTATGGTAAGAACTAGGGTTAGGCTGAGATTTGAACATATATTCTAAAACCTTCACAAATAAGCATTGAACATTTTTTAATCAACATATCTGAATTTTAGGAGGTGACGACAAGTGCGGAAATTATTATCAAAAAATCTACTACTTCCCAAGATACCTAAAAGCAACATGGATAGAAGCAAAGACAATTTGTAAAACTTACAACCTTGAACTAGCATCGTTTAAAACTCTCGAAGAAGCAAATGCAGTCATGGACATGGTCAAAAGAGATTCAAATTTATCAGCAATAGATTTTCTTTGGATATTCCTTGACGGCATTGCTTTGACACAAAAGTCACCAACTGATTGGTATTGGACTGAGACTGGAGAGAAAGTTAATTTTTCAATGCCATGGCTGCCTGGACAACCTGATACAGCTGGTAATGCTGAGTATTATTTGAGCATTGGAAGATTCAACAAAGAAGGAACTCTTGGATTTAATGATATTCCTGGACGAGACTTTGTTAATACTTTTTTGTGTCAAAAATATATTTAATTGTGATGCCAAGTAATAGTTGGTTGAATTCCTAAGTGCTACACCAACTCACTATAGATTACATTAACCATAAAGCCTTAACACTTGATTGAGAATTTTGATAATAAATCTTTCTGAAATTCATCAAAAAAAAATTCTATTTCAAGTTATTGAGTCGAGAAAAATATTTTTATGAGCTACGCCTCGGAAGGAAACCCGAAGAATGAAGGAAAATATTTTTTCACATTCTTTTCTTCATCCACCAAGAAAATGTAGGGGAATTTTTTTCAGATTTTTTTTCTCCATATCCTCATGCTCACCAACACACTGACAGCAAATTCGCGAGCAATGCCAGACGTAAGACGGAAAATAATTCAAGAATGAATATTTAATGCACAATATGAAGCTGAGGAAATATTTTTTTTTTATGAAAAAGAGGTGGTCTTATGTGCTTATGTTTATTCATCGGATTTCATAAATATTCGTCTCATCTCTCGACGTCGTTAGGGGTTTTTTTCCATCCTCCTTGCTACTTTTTCTTGTGTGCGAACTTTTTCTTTTGGAGCATTTTTTATGGACTCAAATTTATTAGAAGGAAATGTAAAGCATAAAAAATACACAGAAAGAAGAAAAATGAATTTTGATTACGAATGCAATTTTTTTTGATATTTTATTTTTTTCTTGCTGAACGTCGTTTGAGGATGTATCGATTTTTCCTTTCGAGAGTTGAAGAGAAAAAAAGAAATTGAGCAATTTGTAGTGTTAAAGCTAGTTGATATGTTAGAAATAATTTTCTATTAACATATTAAGCGCTTGAGACTGTCGATCCTCTCTCCCCTGATTTTCTCATATGAGGTCGTTTATTTATGACGTCCAACTTTAACGGTCATTTTCCAAAAAAAGAACAATGGATTTCCAGGAATTTCTATTGTTTATTTCTTGCTGATTCCCTCCCCTCCACCCTCCTGGACGTCATAAGTGAACGTCCCCTACAAACATGCAAAAAAAATTTTTGGGAACATAACTATATGCAACCACAATCGGGAATCGAACCCAGAACATCATTAATATCAATTGGAAAAAGACATTTTATCTTGTTTCTAATCAATTTGTCCGTTCTGTTAATAATGCTATAGTTCAATTTTGTCTATTTTAAAAACATATATTTGATAATGGACTTAGTAATACGAACAACATCTTAATTGACATAAAGGAGATTTTACAGTTCATAAATGACATCCGAAAATATGTTTTGTCTGGATTTTTTTGACGGTTCAAACAACAAAAAAAATTCCATACATATTTTGTAATAAGGGGATGTGGGGAGAGTGGGGGTAGTAAAATTTCGTTTTTTAGTGGACATTATTTATGAACAGCCCATTTCAAGTACTGGGGCTCCTCGATTTGAGTAGATTTGATTTGAATAGATTTGATTCGAACAGATTTTTTTTGGAACAGATCAAGTACTTAAATCGAGGACCCCAAGTTTAGTAAAAAGAGGTGACCTTAATAATCTTACTTTTACCTAAAGTGTTAATGAACAATCTTTTTTTAAAAAAATTGTTTGCAAGAAAATACCCACCAAAATCGGATTTAAATCTTAACATTTTCTTGTGAAATATTAAAATTAATTAGATATGTCTCAACATTTATATCCCTTTATAAAAAAAAATTCCAATATTTTTCCCACATAATCTTCATCATTCTAAATAAAATCCAAATCTATGCTGCAACATCCAATCCCTTTAAAAATAAACAACAGCATTAAATCCAAGAAAAAATATGTCGACGAAGCTTAACAAAAAAAAATTCTAAATCAAATAAATTCTCATATTGAAATCTCTTCTGCATGTTTTCATGCGATTTCCGAGAATGCACCAGAAAAAAAAATAAATAAATATCGATACACAATATAAATATTCCACTAATTATCGTCCTTTCCTTTCCAAATGCAATCTTGTGTTCTTCTTCGATCATTTTTTTGGTCGTTGCATGCGTTTTTTTTCCTCAATTCGGTCAAAAATATTTTTTTATTGGTGTAGGTTTAAGGTGAAGATGAGTTGGATGGAGATGGCAGTTTGGGTTATTAAACTGATGTTTTAGTAAATATGGAGTGACCAATGTTGAATATTTAGGGATATACTATATGCCAGTGATGATTAACCGATGTGCTGCGGCACACTGATGATGGTCACCACTGCTTTAAGGTGTAGTTCACAATATTCATTTTAAATGGGGTAGGCAGGGGTAAAGAGGGTTCTAAAATATTCTTTTTTAATTGAGTTCTTAAATAAACGATTCCTAAAAATGGAGGTCCTTTCAGAAGACTGAGGAGCTCAAACCTAAACAATAGTAATCAAATAAATCAAAAAAATGCGCTTTATGCACCTTCCATCCACACAAGTAACCCAAGGAAAAAACTCATTTCATATAAATCTCATTCAGTTTTCTCGATAATAAAGAACAAGAAGAGTAAGATGAAAAGTAAAGCAAGGCAAAAGGAAAAGTTATGAATTCCTCTTTTTCACGTACGTTCGACAATAAGAAGAGATGTGGAAGACACACATAAATGTTAAGGGAATAAGAAATCTCTTCTCTCATTCCCGTAAAATGACACACTTGTTTTAATATTCTATAAATCATTTGCTGATAGCATCTCAAAATCTTTTTATGCCTCGAAAAAAATCTGAAACAAAACAAAATTGGCATAAAATAATTTTTTTCTTGCTTATTTCTTCCTTTTAGCTTTACTCTTCTCAGATGTTCTGTTTGCTTTCATTCTCTCATCATTGTCATCATTGAGGCGATGCAGTGATATTTCTTCTTGTTTTTTTGGGAAACGAACATGAAGGAAAAGAGATTTCTCTTGGATGTGATTTTTCGGGGATTCTTAATTGGTGTTGATATTGGATTATGTTGTGTTGATACTTGAGGGAATATTGAGTTCTTTTGGACTTAAGGGACTAGTTATAGATGCATGTAGCTTTACCTAACCTTTACTCTTCCATATGTTTTCCTTATTCCGATACTCTTACCTATGACATACTCCAGTCATTTCCCGAGTAGGAATCGAACCTCTCATGTTTCGCAATACTGATTCTTGTATTCAGACCAACTTACTATTCTACTTAGTGTGCTATCGCCATATTTTGTAGCTTTGACCTTGACTCCTTATTGATAGTTCTAATCCAAGTTTACACTAATAAAGCAGAATTCCTGAACAAAACCATCGATTTCAATTTTTATGACAAATCTTTAATGTTCTATGATAAAAAAATCCTATTAAATCTATTTTCTAAATAGCCTAGTTTTATCTTAATTATTCTGATTTTTCCTAAGATATTCAAAATTCTCTGCCAAAAAAAATCCAACATCATAAATTATCAACAATAATATTGTCACAGTGGACAAAAAATTGATTTTCTTTGCATAAATCTCCTGTAAAATATTTCTAAATCACACAAGATTTAAAGTTCCTGAACGTTTTCTTTATGACTTGATATTTTATTGAATTGAATGAAACAAAAAGAAAGAGATTTTTAAATTTTAAATTTTTTTTCATCGCTTGACTCGACATACATGTAATAATAATTCTTCATATCATCAGCAACAAATTATCATCGAAATCATTAGAAATTCAATTTTTTATTCATTTTTTTTTCGTTGACTAAAAACCACATAAACATAAAGAATCATAAAGAATTCTTCGAAAAATTTTTTTTCTTTTCTTTTTCTTGAGAATTAAAACACAAGGTAAGTTTGAGAGGCATGGGTAAGGGAGTTATATTAATTTCTAATGGGATTTTCATTAAGAATGGTGAAGTAGATTGATAATTGGGATTAACGTTAGAGTCGGGGGAGAGGGTCAAGAGGACACCTATTCTAGTAATGAAAACTATTCTAGCTACGACACTTTGACACCTAATCTAGCCATGACACACATTAAGTCAAGACACCCGAGTTATTTAAGAACCCCACCTTATCCATGGCACATACTTTATCCACGATACCTAATCTAGTCATGACAACTACTATAGCCGTGACACATTGACACCTACTCTAGCCATGACATATCTTCTAGTCACGACACCCAACTATTAAAAATGCCCACTCTAGACATGACACATACTCCAGCCATGGCATTTACTCTAGTCAAAGCACCTATCTAATTAAGAAATCTACTCTAGCCATGACACACATTCCAATCAAGACACCCGACTTATTTTAAAAACACACTCTAGTCATGACACCTACTCTAGTCAAAGCACCTACCTAATTAAGAATCTCACTCTATCCATTACACCTACTCTAGCCATGACACCTACTCTAGCCACGACACCTACTCTAGTCATGACACCTCCTCTAGTCATGACACCTACTCTAGTCATGACATCTAATCTAGCCATGACATCTACTCTAGTCATGACACATACTCTACAGATATACATATAAACTATATTCCTAGCTTCCAGATATACTTCCTAGAACTGTGTCTACCCTAGACTCCAGACGAAGGAAAGACAACAATCAAAAGTCACCATGCATCATAATTCATCATCTATCCAAACAGTATACTAGTATGAAACCCCAAACTGCACACAAAAGAACAACTCATTCACAAATTTAATCAAGCTAAAAATGTTGAAAGAATAAATTCATAAATAAAAGGTCCATTGAGAGATGGCAAAAATTTTTATTTCTTATATTTTTATTTATCGATGAAGAAAAATTCAAGAATTTATTATATTTTTTGTTGTTTGCCGAGAGGTGATAAAAGTTTCACTTCAGTAAAATTTCAATGAGTTTTTTTGTTTTAAATAAAAAGGCAGCCAAAAAAAATATTTTTGTCTTTCTCATATCGCGAATTTTGTATGAATGCATCAACTGCTGCTTCCTTTTGCTTTCTCACCTTCCCGTTTTGTCGTCAATTATTGAAATTTTTTTTCCATGGAAAAATTTATGAAAAAAAAAAAATAATTTTATTGCAAATATTTTCCCGCGCTTCGTCTCGTCATATATCCAAGCAAGCATAACAGACGTGTCGAAGATAAGAAGGCTCATTTTGCCGACACACACAAAAATATTTATGCTAATAAAATATTCCAAAATGATTCGTTAAATTGGCTTGTTCGAGAGTTTCACGAGCGATCACAAA